GTTTAGCTAATTTCTCTCTATAGTAACATCTTGAAAAACTATAGTACAATATTACAACCAGAATATTGATACAATCAAGATAAGTAAGATTTCTGTCACTGCCTACTCATATTCATATCCCTCCTACTCTACACCTACCTATCTTCTTATAACAAACCCTGGAAACCACTAATCTGGTTCTCCATTTGTATAACTTGTTTCTGCAAGAATTCTAGTTACTTTGCCTTTCCATATAAATTTTAGAAAAATCTTGTCTGGGTCTCCCAAAATTCTTGTTTAGATTTTTGATATGAATTGTGTTAAATGTAATTTTTGTATTTCATTTTTCAAGTAGTATTGTATTTGTAATTTCAATGTTAATTGTATTCAATTTGGTCAAATGTTTTTTTCTGCATTGATTGATATGATCAAGGATATTTTTCTTCTTTAACTTGTTAATATGATGGATTACACCGATTCTGAATAATGAACCAGCCTCCCATCCCTGGAGTAAACCCCATTTGATCATGGTGTGTAACTTTTCCTTTTACAAATCGTTGTATTTTACTTGCTAATATTTTGTTAAGAATTTTTGCATCTGGGACACTTGGGTGGCTCAGCAGTTGAAGCAGCTGCCTTTGCTCAGGGCATGATCCCGGGATCCCGCAATGGGCTCCCTACGGGGAGCCTGCTTCTCCCTCTGCCTATGTCGCTGCCTCTCTCTCTGTGTCTCATCAATAAATAAACAAATCTTTAAAAAAAGAATTTTTGCATCTGTGTATGAAGAATATTTCTCTGTAGTTTTTCTTTTTGGTCTTTGCCTGGTTTTGGTATTTCTGTAGTAATAGGTTCATAAAATAATTTAGGAAGTGTTTCCTCCTCTTCTGTTTTCTGAAAAAGATTGTGTAGAATGGTGCTAATTCTTCCTTAAGTGTTTAGTAGAATTTTCCAGTGAAATTATCTGGACCTGGAGATTTCCTTAGGGAGTTTTGACATAAGAATTCAGTGTCCTTATTGGTTGTAGGACTATTCAAATGATCTATTTCATATTGGGTGAGTTATGATGGTTTGTGTGTGTGTGTGTGTGTGTGTGTGTGTGTGTGTGTGTTTTAAAGGAACTGGTCCATTTGGTCTAAGTTGTCAAATTTATGTGTTGAATTATTTGTAGCAATCTCTTATTAATTTTTTGGTGTCTGTAAGGTTTGTGGTGATACCTGTTCCAACCTTGATATTGATAATTTGTGTCTTTTCTCATTTTTAATTTGCCAGTCTTACTAGAATGTAGTCAATTTTATTGATCCTTTATTCCTTTTTTTTTCTTGATAGAGAGCATGAATGGTGGGGGAGAGAAAATCTTTTTAAATTTAATTTAATTTATTTTTATTTTTATTTATCTATGATAGTCACACACAGAGAGAGAGAGGCAGAGACATAGGCAGAGGGAGAAGCAGGCCCCATGCACCGGGAGCCCGACGTGGGACTTGATCCCGGGTCTCCATGATCGCGCCCTGGGCCAAAGGCAGGCGCCAAACCGCTGCGCCACCCAGGGATCCCGGGGGAGAGAAAATCTTAAGCAGGCTCCATTCCCAGTATTGGAACCTGATATAGGGCTTGATCTCATGACCCTGAGATCATGACCTGAGCTAAATTCAAGAGTCAGATGCCTAACTGATGAGCCATCCAGGTGCCTTGATTTTATTGATCCTTTAGAAGGATGAAGTTTTTGTTTAATTTGCTTTCTGTATTTATGTCATTACTTTTTCTGTTTACTATTTCCTCCTGTTTGTATTGTGATTCCTTTGTTCTTCTAGGTTCTCATGGTAGAAATTATTGTAGATTTTTCCTGTTTTCTAATTTATGCATTTATCATTATAAATTTCCCTCTATGCGCTGCTTTGACTGTGTCCACAAATTTTGATACATTGTACTTTCATTTTCATTCAGGTAGATCTATTTTTTTTATTTTCCTGGGACTCCTTCATTGGCCCATATATCATGTAGAAGTGTGTTAGTTTCCAAGAATTTTAGATTTTTAAATGATCTATTATTGATTTCTGGTTTGATTCCATTGTAGTCAGAGAAGAATATGTATGATTTCAATTTTTGGCAACATATGTAGTAAAATATGAGACAGCATGAGAGACAGAGCATGAGCAAGAGGAGGGGCAGAGGGCAGGGAGAAGCAGACTCCCCACTGAGAGGGAGCCCACCACAGTGCTGGATCCCAGGACTCTGAGATCATGACTTGAGCCAAAGGCAGGTGCTTAATTGGCTGAGCCACCCAGGCACTTCTTGATTTCAAGTTTTAAATATTTGTTGTGGCTTGGGATGTGGTCTTTCTAGACCTATTATCCTTTGGGCACTTGAATGTGCAATCGGTTGTTGGACAGGGTGTTCTAAAAATATCAGATCTTGTTAGCTGATGCTGTTGTTGAGTTCTCTTGTGTCCATGATAATTTTGTTTCCTTGTTTGATCAGTTGTTGAGAGAGGGTTATGGAAATGTCCATCTACCTGTGTATGTGTCTATTTCTCCTTTTGGTTATATAGGCTTTTGTTTCACATATTTTGCAACTCTGGTGTACACACATTTAGGATTGCTGTGTCTTCCTGGTAGATGGTCTCTCTTATCATTATATGATAATGTTTCTGGTGATTTTCTTTCCTCTGAGGTTTACTTTATCTGTATAAACTAGCCATTCCTACTTTCTTTTGATTTGTGTTTCTGTGCTTTATTTTCAATCTGCTGCTATTATTCTATTCACGATTAGTTTCCTGTAGGCTGCATTTAGTTGAGTCATATTTTAAAATCCACTATGCCAATTCCTGTCCTTTAATTGATGTATTTAGACTATTTACATTTTATGTAATTAATGCTATTTAAAAAATTAATGCTATTTTAGACTTAAATGTGCCATTTACTTTTTGTTTTCTGTTTGTTTTTATGTTCCTTCAATGCAGCGTTTTGTCTTCAGATCTATTAGATTTCTAATACCATATTGTTTTTTGCTTAATTTCAAAGTTAGTGAACAAAATTCACCAGTGTTCTGTGCAATATTAAATATTCCTGACATCGGTTCATTTCATGAGTCATCCATTCATGCATCCTTTTAAGAGACACTTACTGTATCTCTGCTCTGGGCCAGGAGTTGTCTTATGACACATTACTTTCTCAGATGTTTTTCTTCTCCTTTCTCAGATATTTCTCTTCTGTCCCAGTTCTTTAGTGGCGTGTTTCCTGTGGCTGCCATAGGAAATCACCACTACCTGGATGGCCTAAAACAACAGAAATTTATTCCCTCATGGGTTTGGAGGCAAGAAGTCTGAAATCGGTATCACAAAGTCTAAATGAAGGTGACAGCAGGACTCTAAGGGGGAATCTGTTCTCTGCCTCCTCAAACTTCTGGTGGTTGTTGGCATTCCTTGATTAGTAGCAGCATTGTTCCCATCTCTGCTCTGTGATCAGATTCCCTTCTCCTGTTCAGCCTGTCTTCTTCTCTGAGTGTGTCTTTTAAGGACACTTGGTATTGGGTGTATAGCCTACTTGAATAATCCAGGACGATTTCTTGGTCTCAAGATTCTTTTTCAAATTAAGATAACATTCATAGGTTCCAGGATTAGGATGCAGATGAATTTTATGGAGGGCCAACATTTGACCCACTGGAAGTACAGTTGACTGTTGAACAACATGGATTTGAACTGTGCATGTTGGCTTACATGCAAATTTTTTCGGTAAATACACGACAGTATTGTAGATGTATTTTTCTCTTATGAATTTATTCATAACATTATCTCTAACTTGCTTTATTTGTAAGATTATAGTATATGATATGTATACAAAATATGTGTTAATTGACTATTTAGGTTATCAGTAAGGCTTCTGGCCAGCAGTAGTTATGTTTTGGGGAAGTTGAAAGTTATATGCAGATTTTGGACTGTATAGGGGGATGGCACCCCTAACTTCCATGTTGTTCAAGGGTCATCTAGAGTATATGTAACTTTAATTTCCCTTTTTGATCTTCTTCCCATCTTGGCATGGGTCCCTTCTTTTACTCTCTTCTCATTTCTCTTTTTGGTTTTGTCGTCTTAAGTATTCACTTGGAGAGAGTCAAGGATGTGAAACAATTGTACTGGCCTATATTTCACTGCCATATTGCAATGGGAAAAAGCCTTTCTTCACAACGGGCAGCTCCATTTAGAATCAGAATATACTTCTTATTAACGGAACTTATTAAACTAAAGCCAATAAATGTAGTACTTTAAGAAATTATTTTTTTAATGTATGTTGCAAGTATGTGCACATGTCACTTGACTAATGCCTTAAGAACAAAGACTTTTCTGTGTGGAAGTAGTTTCTCAGAGGAGTCCAAACACCTTTTCCAAGGTACTTAGGCCCCTAGAGTGTCACTGAGATTATTTTGGGAAAGCCTTAGTGACCTAATGAATGTTATATCAAAAAGGTACTGAATAAATATACCTCACTGACCTTTAAGGATAATGAATATATCTTTAAGAAATTTCTGGCAACTTTAGAGTCTAAGTGCAACAGTGATTTCGTTGTACTAGAAGAAAGTTGTGTGATTCTGTGGTAGTCGATTATGTTGCTGTGTGTGCTGTTGCCATAGTTATTAATATTTTACCATAATGAACCTTTACAACATCTCTATATGTTTTTTGTAAAGTACAGTAAGTTGGCAGATCACAGGAAAAAATGAGGTAGAGTTTTAAAGGAAGTGTTTAAAAATCTCATCAAGACTTTCTGGACTTAAGACATGTATGTAGAGAATCTGGTTTTAGCATAAGCATAATTAATATCTTCATGCCTTTGTTACAAGATTTACTTGATGAAATTTCAGGTCTGGTTTTATTTTTATATCTAAATGATGTGTTTAAGGTTTAAAACTTTGTCAGATGTCTGTGTATTTATTATTAAAAGCAGATCAATCCCTGCTTTTTATATATAGTCGTGGGCTAGGCCCTCGGCTTGTAATCACGAATCTTAAATCTGTGTTTTCTCTGTAAGTGCTGGCCAAGATGTCCAAGGAACGAGTGTGATTGCAAACCTTCCATTCCTCATGCGGCAGAACCCTGCTGAGACGCTTCGGAGAGTCTTGCCAAAAGTCAGAGTAAGTTGGTGCCAAGTAAGATTCGCATTTACCATTTTTCCAGTAGCGTGTTGCCATGGTCAGGAGGAGGTTTCAGAGTTTTGGATGGCTGATATTTTGTGCTTAATTGTGGAGCGAAGGAAGTATTATGATACATATTTTGAATCATAATGAAAATATTTAGGAAAATTAGCTGATGAAAATGGGAAAAATCCAGATCTCAAGTTGTGAATGTTTCTTTAGTTGTATTCTCATGAGAGATATTTTATTTTCTTCAAAAAGACTGTTTATTTCAGAGAGGGGGGCTGTGGATTTGCGTGGCGGGGGTAGGGACAGAGAGAGAGGGAAAGAGAATCTCAGGCAGACTCTGTGCCAAGCATGGAGCCCAACATGGGGCTTGATCTTACCCTGAGGTAAGATCATGGACCCTGAGGCCAAGACCTGAACCTAAACCAAGAGTCAGAATGCTTGACTGACTGTACTACCCAGGTGCCCCGAGATGTTTTATTTAAAAGTTAGCTTCTCAGTTGCTCAAAACAAAATCATAATTAGTCTTAAATCATAGCTATCTTATTTGGTATTCTGTTGACTTAAATTTATATTAATAGTATTTCTACAACACTGATAATGAAATTTAAGTAATATTACTAATAATCACCCTCTGGTAACTTCTAGAGAATCACTGAAATAAAGAGTGAATTGCGGCCATCACAGTTTTAGTTTTATATTTACTTATCGCGTCCTAAATTCTTTCAGAATTAGTTTTCTTGCTTTAAACGGAAATCTTTGATTTATTAGAACATTCTTTTCTCTGGCTATTTAATATTACTGATTATTAATATATAATATTAAATTTTTGATAGTACTTGTTATTTATCTGTGGCTGTGTGCAAAATGGTGTTCTTGTTTGTAAGAACCTGAGTGAGCAAAACAGATAACAGCCTGTGTGTCCTTAGGGAGCTCTACCTGCTATTTAGGGCCAGGGAGGTTATATACTAATGGGGACTATGTTTGTTGATAGGGAATTTTGTATATTTTGCTTTGGCTTTCTGGTTGGTTATAGCTTATTTGTAATTTTTTATTAACTTATATGCATTTAAAATATTATAATTATTAATGTGTTCTTGAGTTTCATTTTGAGGCCTCTGTAACATGGTTCTAGTTGCTGTGATTTAGGTCAAGGATATAGCATGTAGGCATTGTGAGTGTTGTGGTTTTTTTTTTTTTTTTCTAGTTACAATGTTGAAATGAGAAAATGTTTATTTTGGATTTGCATGTGATTCAAAAGTGAATCAAGGTTTTTCATAGCTATTTCCCCCAGAATCATGCCATAATTTCAATGGAATTAAGTTTACACCATCCAGGTTTAATTTCATGTTCATTTTCAGTGATAGTAACTGGCTTAAGCTTCTTAGCATGAGACCTGGAAGTGCTAGTTAAATGATAGTAGAAGGGAACAAGTGGGTAGGCCCCCTTGACAAGGAAATAGTGTAGATAAGTGAATTCGATGTAAAGCTAAAGACATAAAGCTTGCTATAACTCTGTGTTGAGCAGGCGAAATCTGGTCCATGGACAGCATACTGAGCAGCCACGGTTTCTTAAAGCAAGAATAAAAGATGAAGGGTGGAGAATAGTGGCTTTCAGAGGTTTCTAAGTTATTTTGAAAAAATCCTTTTGTTAATGAGTTCACAATAAAGTCAGTTAAGTAATAACTCCTGAAAAATCTTAATTTCATGGGAACGGTATAAAGAATATTTTACATTCATATATGTGGCATATTTATACAGAGAATCAAATGTATATGCTAAAACTATATAACTGAGTTATAGAAGATAAGGTTTTAATAAGCTTTTAAGGTAACTAAAGTTAATCCATAATATAGAAGGTTAACTGAATAAACGGATATAAAGAAAACGTATACTAATGGATATGTGCTAAGAAAGCATTTACTTAGTGCTGAAAGATTTTATTCATTTCTCTAGTTAATCAACAAATAGCCATTTATTTACGATTCTCATTTATCCTGTCTTGTCCCAAAAAACATACCAAAAGGGTAGAAGATAGTCCCAGATTAGATTCCATGTCAGGATGGCCTAAAGACTATGGAAAACAAAGAACAATCATAGGAGAATATTTACTTGTGTGATTCTGACTTTGTGTGAAGATAGTAAAGAACTAAGTATTGAAAAGACTTTGTGGGGCAATAATAGTAACTTTTATAGAGGGTTTAGTATATAATGCAGGCGATTAAGCATTTAAGCAACTCCATTTCAAGTTATAAAACCTGTATTATGTGCAAACCGTTTTTTAGTCACCATATTCAGATATTGTTAAGATTTATTGGTACTCATCGTTAGCATCTTCTTCAGTTCTACCTTGCTTCTGCCAAGTGGTTACATTTCAAATGATAAAACTGTGACAGAAATCACACATAGCCAGCCACTTTATTCTCTTTTGCCATGGCCATAACTCCTTTGTTGATTTTATAAAAAAAAATAATCTTGTATCCCAATGTGAGCATTTAGAAATAATGGTATCTCATTCATTCACAAATATTGACTGAGTACCTCCCATGTGCTGGACACTGTTGTAAGCACTGAGAAAACAGAGGTGAAGAAAAGAGAGAACTTGCCCTCAAGGAAGGTACAGTCCAGAGTGGGGGGAAACAGACATTAAACAAGTAACTGTGAAGAACAGGATAAACAGACAGGATTGCCTGCTGTGCACTGGGAGGTCAAGGAAAGCCTCATTGAGGAGCTCAAAACCAAAGGCAGGAGGAAGCAGCCATTTGAAGAGTCAAGAATGAATGGTCCAGGCAGAGGAAGTAGCAGATAGCCCTAAGATGAGAAAGCTGGTTGGAATTGGAAGAGACACAGGTGGTTGAGATGCAGTGGGCAGGGGTGGGATATAACTTAAAAAGAGGTTAGAGAGACGGTCAGTGAGAGAGTGCGCAAGAAGTGTTCTTTCTTAGGACAGCAGAAAGCCATTGAGCAGAACAGTGGCCTATCCCATTTACATTTTATGATTATCATTTTGATAATTATGTGGTGAATGGCTTGGAGTGGGAGAATTAGGAAAGTACAGCACTAGTCCTTGTGATATGTGAAGGTGGCTTGGATTGGGCCAGCTAGCTGGGACAGAGGGGAGTAGTGGCTGTATTTGAGATATAATTACTGAGGTAAAATAAACAGAACTTCCTCGTGAATTGGATGTAAGAAGTAGGAGATACCTTCCACATTTCTGGCTTGAGCACCTGTATGGTTCTGAGTGTCTTTGCTGGATATTTATTAAGTCCACGGGGAGCAATAGTTTGCATACTTACTAACACTGGTCTTCTATGAATGATTTACTTGTAGAGAATTTAAAGATGCAAACAATAAATATTTTGTATAAGAAGCTAATCATTCCCAAAATTGTTAGCACATTCACAGCAATAGGATAAGCAGCTTTTAGAGCTCACCCTTTGCTTTATCTTAAGAGCATCATATGCAGTGATGGGGAAGCTCTTTCTGGCCTTATGTAGTATAAAACGTCACCAATGATATTTTTATTGATTTTTTTCTTGTTGTATTGCATTTACATTTTATCCTTATAATAATATATTAACTGAACAATGTTTTTTAAAATAGGTTGCTATTTTCACTGTCTTAGAGATGAAGGAATTTAAAGTTAAAAATGGCAGAAACAAAGTCAGGATTAGAATTGAGCTAATCCATAGTATTTTTACAATTCACTTTGTAAATTTTATCCGAAGTGTACAATGAATGATAATGCTATCAGGTCACTCATCTCAAGGTTAAGTTTAAATAAGATTCCAGAAAGGAAATATTTTGACCTCCAACTTAAATTTCTTAGATTGGAGATACTTTTAAATATAGTTGTTATAATGTATTCATGTTCTATGATTTAATCATACAGTATTTTTTGAAAAAGAAATAACTTTTTTCTATAGTCTATTGATTAAGTTTGAATTCTTTTCCACAATATAATCAATCAGGATCTTAGATGTTGGATTTCAATATTTGACTTGAATATCTCGTTATCAGGAAGGGAAAGAATTTGACTATCAAGATACATTTCTAAAATACTATGGTCCTTTATAAAATTTGAAGTGGTAGTTATATAATTATACCATGTAACATTAATGACTCCTTTTATAATGAATTGCAAAAAATGTCTCTGCCTGTTGAATTATTGAATTCTTTTAATTGTTTTTATACTTATTTTGGGAACCCAAAATCTGTGGCATAAATTATATATTAGAAAATGCGCAATGCCAGGAACAGATAGAAATAAATATAGCTAATATTTGTTGAGGTCTTACTATGTGTCAGGCACTGTACTCTGTCAGACACTTTATGCATTTTTATTTTTATTTTTTATTATTTTTTTAATAATAAATTTATTTTTTATTGGTGTTCAATTTACCAACATACAGAATAACACCCAGTCCTCATCCCGTCAAGTGCCCCCCTCAGTGCCTGTCACCCATTCACCCCCACCCCCCGCCCTCCTCCCCTTCTACCACCCCTAGTTCGTTTCCCAGAGTTAGGAGTCTTTATATCAGAAAGGGAGACAGACCATTTTTATTTTTTGAATGGTTACAGCAGTTCTGTAAGGGGCACTGGATAGAGGAAGAAACAACTTAGTTGAGTAACCTGCCAAAAGTCTCAAAGCTAGCAAGTGGCATAATCGGGTTTGAACAGGAAGTCTGGCTCCTGAGTCCTCCCTCTTAACTATTATACAACCTCCTCATTGGCTGATCATGACTGCCGCAGATATATAATGTATAATTTTACTTCTCAAGCCTTAGTCCTCTCTCATCTGGTTATACAACAGCCTTCTTGCGGACCTATCCTTTCTGCTTTGCCACCTAGGGCCCACTCAGCCAGAGAAATCTTTTATTTATTTATGTAGGAACAATCTACAATTTTTTGTGTATAAAATAAAATTGTGTATAAAGTGTACAGCATAATGATTTAATATGTGTATACATTGTGAAATGATTACCACTATCAAAA